TCCAGCAACTTTGTTTTTGTCCAACCCTCTCTGCGTTCTGCAAGGACCATTCCCTTTGCCACTCCTTAGCTCGCACACACTCCCCACCATCTATTCCAACCCACCCAGCACCTTCCCTGTAACTGTAAAAGATACAACACCTTCCCAGACACCACCTCCCTCACCTCCATTCAAGGCCCTAAACAGCCCTTCCAAGTGAGACAGAGTTTCACCTGCATCTCCTCCAACCTATTCCATTGCATCTGGTGCTCCCGATGTGGTCTTCTCTACGTCGGTGAGACCAAACATAGGTTAGGTGACTGTTTTTCTGAGCATCTCTGCCTGGCCTGTAACGGCCAACCTAACCTCCCGGTCGCCGCCCATTTCAACTCCCCGCCCCACTCCCCCTCCGACATGTCCGTCCTCTGCCTCCTCCAGTGTCACAGCGACTTGAAACGCAAATTTAAGGAACACCACCTTATCTTCCGCCTTGGCACCCTAAAGCCTGCGGACTCAACATTAAGTTCTCCAATTTCAAGTAACCTTGCCACCCATCCCCCTGCCTCCATTCCATATCACCTTCTGACCCTCCCTTCCAGCCACCAACTGGATTCATCCCTCCCATCGATCAACCAGATCGTATCAAGCACCAGTGTCCACCTATCACCACCATTCCGCCTCCACCTGTTCCCTCCCCGTCTTTATCTGCATCTCCCCCCTACCCCTACATCCAGTCCTGAAGAAGGGTATTACCCACACATTGGCTGCTCCTTTCCTCCAAATGCTGCCTGGCCTGCTGTGTTCTTCCTGCCTCCTGTTTGTCTACCTTGGATTCCAGCATCTGCAATTTTTTTCATCTCTAATCAACTTGTACAAGCTTTTTCTCCTTACTGTTCTATGTTACCATGTAGTCCCCGTAACCCTTTCCTAGCTAATTCACACTGGCTTCCATTCACCCAACACATGATATTTAAAATCCTCATCTACAAATCTTTTGACCTTGGTCAGTCAGATATTTCAAGTCCTACTCTCTGGATTTTAGTCCCTCCATTTCTCTGCTTTCCCTTCACCAGATAATTTTGTTTTAAATAATACCTCTTCAATGTACCCCTTTGTAATTTTGTGTGTTGCTGGCTCTAAGTCCATTTCTGTACTCCAACATGTGAAGCAGTTCTTTACATTAAAAAGGTGCTGCTGTACCAATACAGTCATTGTTGGTATTCTAGTCAAAATGTGATATTTATGATAAACACTTCACTTCCCCTCTTGCCCCATTTAAGTATCAGATTTGCCTTTTAAAATTAAGCCTCAAAGCTGAATCACAAAGGGATCTGGGGGTACTTGTGCACAAAATAGAAAAAGTTAACACAGAGGTGTGGCAGATAATCAGGAAAGTTAATGGAATGTTGACCCTTATATCAAGTAGATTGAAGTATAAGACTAGGGAACTTTTACTGCAACTGTACAAGGTGCAGATGAGACTACATCTGGAATACTACAAGCAGTTTGGTCCCCTTGTTTAAAGAAAGATATCGTTTCACTGAAGACAGTTCAGAGAAGCCCAGTATCCAGGGATTGTCTAATGAGCAAAGACTAAACAGGTTGGGACTCTGCTCATTTTTCTAAACTCCATTGAGAAGCGACTTTATTGAAACATATAGAACTCTCAAGGGATTCAGCAGGGTAAATACTGAGAGGATGTTTCCCTCATGAGAGAATCTAGGACCAGAGGGCATGGTCTCAGGATAAACGGCTGCAAATTTAAAACTGAGATAAGAAGGAATTTCTTTTCTCAGAGGGTTAAGTGTCTTTGGAGCTCCTTGCCACAGAGCACTAACTGGGGCACAGTCCTTACGTATATTTAAGACTGAGATAGACAGATTCTTGATTTCAGCTGGAGTACCCTGTTATAACCTGCACAGACTAGCTAAAACTCCCAAACATTAATTTTATGATGCCAATTAAAATCTTATCCTGCAAGTGGACAAAATTGATTCTTTGTCACAGGACATTTGCTATGAACCAGAAAGACTTTGGAGAACTGCATTTAGAACCCAATTCTGAAGTTATAAGTGGTTAACTTTCTTTTTGAAATGCATTCATTAGTTGAACACTTGAGAAACACATATCAATACGGCCATAAGAAATGGGAACAGGAGTAGGCTATTCCACCCCTCAAGCTTGCTCCATTATTAGGTAGGATCGTGGCTGATCTGACATTTCTCACATCCATTTCCCATCTTTTCCCTGTATCCCTTGATTCCTCTACTGATTCAGAATGGGTTCTGAAGAAAGGTCAAAAACCCAAAATGTTAACTCTGCTTTCTCTCCACCAAACCTGCTAAAGTTTTCCAGCAATTTACAACTTCTAGCATTTGTTCTTTGGTTTTTTGTTACATCATGACACACAATTGCACAATAAATTATCACAAAATCACAAAACAGTGTTATGGTGCAGAAAGCGGCCATTCAGCCCGTCGTGCCTGCATCAGCTCGTTAAATGAGCATCATTACCTTCCTTTTCCCAACATATCAGAATGTAGCCATTATACTAGTTCATTTTTAGAGGGTCTTTTAAAGTATTAGTATTGTGAGTGATTGCTATGTGTCTACATATTAATCTGAATATTTTTACAAATGGAAAGCATTCGCTAATAGTGAATCACACTGTTGAGATCCCAAGTTACTTGGTATTAGATCATTTTATGTATTGTATCAACTTTAGGATAAGAAATTATTTATTAAATGAAAAAATAAATACACAAATTGGCACTGTTCAATCACTGTAAAACCAGTGGTCCCAACAGTCATATATGAAATAGTGTCAATTAGTTCTCAAGTAATTCAATGGCCTCAGAAGTAAATAAGCAACTTATTCATAATTATTTTAATAATTAGTACAGAGTAACTGAAAGTGACAATATTAATTAGTTATTCCATTACATGCATACATCTATGCTAACTAAACAACTCTTTTCGATTTTAATGAAGTAGGATGCAGATTTCTTTTAGCTAAAATTGTTCAGATTCTTTCTGTAAATGAATAACTAGACTTTCAAATAACATTGGTATTCAGATATACTTACAACATTGCGAACCTGGAACGGATAAAGGTCTCTCCTCTTCTTGGAAAACAAACTAATTTAAAGAAGATTGTATAATCAAACCTCAATATTACACGTCACATCAATTTAAGTGCAGTAAAGCATTGGACACTTGAAGACCTTTCATAACATGTCATGTTCTGTAATGGCACAGAGCGTTCAGCATAAAATGGCCGTCAGCCATATATAGCCCACATTTTGTGGTAATCGATGAGGCAACATTACAGTCAACAGTGATTGGTATTCATCCTGCTGACAGCTGGCCATAAAATTTGAGGGCTTTTGAGGAAAAATTTGCTCCAATTGTGTATCTGGTTAGTTGTGGTGCCCTCAGTTGTGCATGTGAGAGCAGAACAAGAAACAGCAAGGTTTTTCGACCTAAGAGATTGAAGCATTCTCACTGCAATTCCTGCAAACACTAGCACTGCTTTGTTGGATGTTTGGTAGAAAACTCACAGGAAAGTACTCCTACATAATGCATCGCATTTATTTCAATGCTCAGCTATCAAGGAGGATCTGGTATAGCACAGACTGTGGAGGCATAACTGCACTAATGCATTGCTGTACAATTTAGTCTAGTAGTGAACTATAGTAGCGAACACTGATTGCCACACCATTACTCCTATTGCCAATGTCTCGTAATAGAACGATGTAACAATTCAATCCAAAGGAGAAACATTTTTTCTTTAACCCTCAAAGTCATGTCAAGAATGTAACTTCAAGGATTAGGGTTGCCAAAATGATAAAATATTGTTTGTGCTTGAAATATAAAATAACAAAATTTTCTGCCCTACAGTTTTAAAAGTTCAAATTGGGGAAAACTATCAAAACCAAAGACTTAAACCTGAATATACTGATTATGAGTCTGCCCGTCATGCTGGGTGCATTTTTTAAAAAAGAAATGTCCAAAATTTCAAATATTCCCAACTTTTCCCAATTTGTTTCAATAGATGAGTTCTACAGCATGAGTTTCAAGTGAATAATAAAGCATATAGTGATCATATCTGTAATTTCAATTGCACCATATTTAACACTTACATCATCATGATCCCTCATTGCATTCAGTTGCTCCAATTTTTTGGCCCAGTACCGTGCCTCCTCTTCTGGGATATCTGCAACAGAAAGTAGAAGCTTTCAAGTAAATTTGAAAAAATGCTTATACTTCAGAACTTTTTTTTTTGACAAATCTGTACTATACTTCAAAATAATTCAAAGTTAACAGAATATTGCAATGAGCTATTGAAATGCAATGTAAAAAGTGGATTAAAATGCAACTCTTAAAAATCTGACAATTAGACCAGATGCAGTCAAATCACATCATGGCAATTCAATAATTTCATTGAATTCAGTAGAGGGTTTTAAGGTCAATGCTGGCTATGAAGAAAACTTTGCTTTTTCTCATGAACTTACAGTAATAGGTTCAATTCTTCGTTTGACCATTTTATCCATCAGTATTTCTGAAATGCTTGGGTAGTTCTCCAAAAGGGTTACAATTCTTTGAGGATTTTTTTTTTATTAGCTATATTTTGTACTTAATTTCAGAAGTTTTGTATGGATTACAAATGCAATTTTATATAAATCATGAATTTTTTTAAAAATTGTAAAATTGTTAGTGGACAACAAGTCCAGTTCAAGTTTGGCCTTGAAGTTCCACTAATTTTTCCATCAATTTTTTCAGACAGAATGTAGCAAAGTGCCAGTTAGGGGCTGCTGCTGGAATTTGGTGGAGAGTAGACCAAGAATTGGCACAAATTGCTTAGTTGAAACATTGTGGTGTTGGATTCAGGGCTGAGACAAGGAGAGTATGTAGAAGTTTTGTTTCAAAGATGCTATATAAGGTGTAGTGTGCAGAAATGACATGAGGAAAGGCTCCGGCATAGCAATAATGTCACTGAACTAGTGATCCAAAGGCCCAAGCTATGGTTTAGGGACATAGGTTCAAAGCCCAACATGGTAGCTGGTAGAATTTAAATTTGATTAATAAATCTCAAATTTAAAAAAAGTCATGAAATTATTATATTAAAATCTTGTTTGCTATTGCCCCTAGGGAAAAACTTTTGCCATCCTTGATTTGATGAGGTTTCTTAAATGCCATCTGAAATGACCTAGCCAGCCACTCAGCTGTATCAAACCACTGCAAAATCCAAAAAGAATGAAGGCACCATCTGACATCGACCTAGATACCAGGAAACATCTGGGAGAACTGTTCCACAGTCCAGTCAGCCTGCCTTGGTCATATTCATCAAATTGCATTTTACAGACCATGGCCAAGACCCCACCACCACCATCCCTGTTCATCCAAACCCACTGGCAGAACAGGCCCACCAGATATAGCAGCACTGTGGGATACATCTGAAAAATGGCCTCAAATATTAACTCTGAACTACAGAAAGTCTCTTGACATCAGATCAAACATCGACAAGAAACCTCCTGCTCATTACCACGTATCACACCTACCTTAGCTCATGAACCATACTGCATGTTGAAGACCATTTCAAAGAAGCATTTAAGGTGGCAAGGGCATAGAAAATACTCTGGGTCGGGGACTTTAATGTCAATTACAAAAGTAGCTCACTAGCACCACTACTCTAAGCCAGCTGAGTACTAAAGGATGTATTGTTGAGACTCGGTCTGTACATGTGTTGAAGGAATAAGAAAGAAAACTTGACCTCATTATACCAACTGAGCTATGGAAGGTGTATTTGTCCAGTACATTAGTGGTTGACCACCATCACTTATTGTGGAGATGAAATGCTGTCTTTGTGTTGTGTGGCATTGCCACCGTACTAAACAGGATAGTTTTGAACAGTTCGAGTAACTCAAAACTGAGCCTTGAGGAATTGTAGACCATCAGCAGCAGTGGAATTGTATTCAGCCACAATCTGTAACCTCATAGCCTGGCTGATTCCCCTCCTTTATCATCACTATCAAGCCAGGCATCAACTGGTGCAGGAGAGCATTTTGAGAGCAGTACCAGTGACACTTAAAAAGGAGGGGACAACCTGGTAAAGCTATATCATAGGACTTCTTGCATGCCAAAAGGCAGAAGCAGTGAGGGATAGGCAGAGCCAAGTAGACCACAACCAATAGATCACCACAACCAATAAGTTGTACCATCCTGCTACATCCAGATGTGCATGGAGGACAATTAAAGAACTATCAGGAGGACAATGATCCACAAATATCCCCATTCTTAATGATGGTGGAGCCCTGCACGTCAGTGCAAGAGACAAAGCTAAAGCATTTGTATTCCTTTTCAGAACAAATTGTTCAGTAGATGATCCACATGGTATCAAGAAACAGTTGAAGACACTGGATACTGCAAAGGCTATGGATTCTGACAACATTTTATCAATAGTACTGAAGACTTGGGCCCCAGACTTCTACCAAACTGTTCCAGAGCAGCTATTACACTGGCATCCACCCAGCAATATGGACAATTGCCCAAGTTTGGCCCATTCACAAAAAGCAGCATAAATTCACCCCAGTCAATTAACAGCACATCAGTGTATTCTTGATCATCAGCAAAGCAACTAGGGAGGGGGAGGGAAGAAATAAATATCTCTATCAGGTGGCACTTGTTCAAATATAATCTGTGCATAAATGCTCAGCTTAGATTTCACCAAGGCCTCTCCATCTGCACGAAAAAAAAATCAGGCACCAAAGTTGGTTTCAATTACAATGAAGTAACGACAACAGACAATTACATTTGGGTAATAAAATTTGTATGAAACTCAATTATCTCTTCTCTTCTACACCACACATCGATTTTCCCCACGATCCCCCACCACCAACCAACTACAAAGGTGGAATAGATTTTCAGCTTCAAAATGGTTCTAAATTTACAGTTTTTCACATACCTTTACTACGTACGATTTTCAAATTAGTGTCTAAATGTTTTTATTTTTGATGAGCAGTTAATGAAATTAAGGTTTCTTTTTATACCTCTTTAAATTTGCTTACTTACTGTTAGTAAATGGTTAACCATTGCAAATGACAATTAAATCAACCAAATTAAACTGAGAACAATCACATCTTCCTGTATTTGCTATTCTGTGGAGTGCCTGTTACATCTAAACTACACACCCGATTTGAAATGTAATTGAAATATGAAGACAGCTGTCACTTATTTTGTAAAATGTGCTCCATGTGCAAATTGCATCACAAGAATATTATTCCATTGCAAAAGTCCTGTTTCAGTTTGAACTCTGATCAACTGACTTCCCCACGTTCCATCACCTGCTAACCTATATGATTTTGTTTTATTTTTAAAAGTATACATTTCCAAGTTAGGTTATTGACTGTACAGATGTGACTGATCAGTCTCAAACAGTGATATTTCACAATGACAATATTTTCTTGATTTTTTTCTTCAATGAGCTGAGAAGGTTCAGTATTAATACATAATGCCAAAAATTCTGCAACTACATAAAAAAGTATCAATGATAAATTCTGACAATAATAATCAGTACCTTCACTAAAGTTTAGTTATGATTGTGTATGCATTATACTCAATCAACAGAACTTAACGTAGCGGAAGTGATTTGGTTGACCAACAGCAATCATCTTTTGTTCACTTTTGTTCTAAAAATTTAATTCTGATCTGTACAGATATTAATAACTATTAAAACACTGCAGTATGGTGTTTTAGTGACATTCTGACATAAAGAAAATCATTAAGAAATTAACTTTACAAGCTTAGAACTAAATTGTGGAAAAACGTTACGCAATAAAGCAACCAAACAGTGGGAGTAGTATCAATCTAACAGATCACTGGTACCGCAGCACCACACTGACGTGACGGAATGGATCTCTATTTACAAAGGTAAACATGAGGACACTACTTAAACTTGAAAAATAACATTGATTACTTCTTACCAAGGTAACAGAAATAGTAATTTTGAATAATGTGCCGAAAAATGTTAACTAATTCCTATACACCTGGACAGAAATGCCCAAAACTATAACTTTTCTCACAATTCTAACAGTAGCCATTTCTTCTTTCTTGCATCTAAACAGCCTACTTCCAACAGAATTCAGATATTTTATCAATTCCAATACAGGTCCACTACTTGGTTGGCATGGTGGCTCAGTGGTTATCACTGCTGCCTCATAGCACCAGAGAGCCAGGTTTGATTCTACCCTTGGGCAACTGTCTGTGTGGAGTTTGTAGTCTGTGTAGCTGTCCTCCAAGTGCATCAGTTTCCTCCCACAGTCCACAGATGTGCAGGTTAGGTGAACTGGACATGCTAAATTGCCCACACGTGCAGGCTAAGTGGATTAGCCATAGGAAGTATACATGCTGGCTAGATTAATGAATAACAAATGTCAACCCAAAGGAAACATATCATACCCCTTCACTGAACCCCAAACACCATGCCAATGAACAGTTTCTGCAGTATATGTTGCCCCTTCATCCAGAACACCAACTTTTTTGTATCTGTCTGGAGGTATGTAACTGTAGGGAGTGTTCAGATGGGAGTGAGAGTTTTAACTAGTAGGGGTATATGTAAACTGTTCATAGTTGTTCACATGAGGTTAGAATCTATTTATTTGTCATAACAGTTCTCATTAAGCACAGAAACTTGGCTCATGTTTTCTGTTAACCTGAGTTAATCAGACACACATGGAACTTGCATACTTTGACAAAATTAACTTTTGTGACAACTCCAGGAAAGTCAGGCCTTCATTTCCAGTGTGCTACTCCAGCGAGCTGTAACAAATGAGCCAACTATCAACTAATATTCAGCAACCTTACAGAATATTTTCATCTTTAATCATAACCAAATATAATTATTTAAAACCAATACATTATGCTATCGTTGCTCTGCTTTGGTGCCAATTTGGCCATGGAAATATTTTTCCAAAGAAGGAAGGTACATAGGTACGAGATTTTAAAAGAAACAAACAAATGCAAAGTAACAGTGAAAGAAAGAATTTGATTCATTCAGTAAAGTTATTAAATGCTTTGAACAGACAGTGAAAGGATGAAAGTCATAGTGAGAACTACAAATAAGTTTCATAATTTCAAATAATACGCACTCCAAAACAATCAAAAGGCGAAGTTTGCAAAATTTCTAATATAGCTTTAATACACAAACACCACTGTTTGTAGTCATGTGAACACTGATAAATGAGAAATGGATCCTAACGAAACTAGAAGAAAAAAAATAACCCAAAGCTCAGTCAAAACCTACCAAGTGGTAACTCAAATCGAGTGTCCAACAAAATCCTGTGAAATGTTGGGTCTTTTGTTCCACAGATTTCATTATCTGTCATTATAACCTCTGAGTCAAGAGTCAGCCATTCACCAGGTCCCTCCTTCAAAGAGAAAGAGGAAAGAAAGTGATTGAAATAGAGGAAGATGAACAAAGACAGAAAAGGAAGATATAGTTTAGTTTTGAATGAATCCAACATACATGTTTGCAAGTACCAAGTGTATTGAGGAAGGAAGGATGTGCCTCTTTTATTGATTATAGACGGTTGAGTCAGTAGCATCCACTTATATTGTTCATAAGCAAGAACATTGATACAACATAGAAAAAAATACAAGCAGCTAAGTGCGCATTCAACCTTTGAAATAATGCAGATCTAATGAAAGAACAATTCAACCTAATCACAAATACCAGGTCATCGCCTCTCTATGTAAACTGTTTATCATTAACTCAAAATGTATGGCTTTAAAATATCGATTTTATTGTGCATAAATTTATCAAAAACAAATGTAGTTGTTCATTTTTCTAAAAAAAATTGGTCTAGACACTAAATACAAGAGAGTTATACCAGTCCTGAAAGCACTACAAAAAGAATAATTATTAGGATAAGAGAGAGAGCAATGAGAAAAGACAAGAGTAAATTGGACTTTTCAGCCTTCAGATAATGGTAACTGACAAGGGACATAATACAGATCTGTATATTAGTACATGACATTGAAAAAGATAAATCCAGAAACGACATCAAATCAAATGGTGATATTAAGATAATTCAAATTAGTGAAAGGCAAAGCCATCCGATTTCAAGTGGTTCTGCACACAAGTAGTGTTTAATAAAAGAAATGAATATCCAAATATTATAACAGAAAGTAAATCTGAACAAAGTAAACAGCTAGATACTGGTTTGGAGAAAGAATAATGGCCATAAAGAGCAAGGATGCTTCTCCCAATCCCAAATTTCACTCCTTCCTAATTTGGTCTCAGCAACACCCTCCTCAAAAAAAATTAAGACTCCAGTAACCCTACCCCAGCCACTGGCCACAACTTTTCTGACCACAGTCATCCTCCCCTTCCCTGGACTCCTTTCCCAATTCCATCCTACTTTCTGAACCCTTATGCTACTATCGTGAAAGCTGCTGTGATATCTCTTCACTATCACGCTATGATATTACCCTGTACTGGTGTGCAAGGTTCAATAGTCATGAGGTTTCAGGTCTCCATTAAGGTGCCTGGAGTTTAACGAACCAAGTGTTTACCAATTGCAAATGATCAAAACTAAAGGAACTTTGATGAACTGCTCAACTATTGACAGTGCAGTGGCTTGGTATCACAATCATAAGTAATAATAATTTCCAAGCATATTACAAAAATTCAAATCTTTTATATATTCTTGAAAAATAAATTGTAGAAATAGTTTAAGATTGTTTTAAGATTTTTACTATACAGTAAAAGCAGCACAGAAATAGGCCTTGTAGCCAATTTACCTGTGATGTTCACACATCTCAAGCCCCTTGCCATTCTGGTTACCTCATGTTGAACATATTCAACTAAAAGATTTCAATAAAATCAAAAACTTTTATAGCTTTATCCATATGTACAGCCCAAACATTAAACAGCTTCTCGAAAGCAAAAGCTAGTATTAACAGGAACATCAGCTTTTATGAAGGTGAGGAAAATTAATTAATTTATGTTATTTTTAGTTAACAAATTAGGATTATTTAGGCAAAATTTGACAAACTGCACATCCATCCTCAACAATGCAAATTTAAAGTGAAAATTTCCAAAGAAAATTAAATACATTTATATTTTTTAAAAAATCAAAATTCTGTTACTGAATAATTGGATTTGCTGAGTCAATCTATTTTAGAGTCAGAGTTTTACAGCATGGAAAGAGGCCCATCATGTCTAGGCCAGTCATCAAAAACCTATCTACTCTAATCCCATTTTCTAGCACTTGGTCCACAGCCTTGTATGCTTTGGCACTTCAAGTGATCGCCTAAGTACTTCATAAATATTGTGATAGTTTCTGCCTCTACACCCTTTCAGGTAGTAAGTTCCAGATGGCCACCACCCTTCTGTGTGAAAAAGATTTTCTTCAAATCCCTGACAAACCTCCAGCCCTTTATCTTAAATCTTTGCTCCCTAATTATTGAATCCTTCTACTGAGGGGAAAAGCTTCTTCTACCTACTTTATCTGTGCTCCTCAATTTTGTACACCTCAATCAGGTTCACGCCACTCCTCCCCCCACCCCCACCACCCCAAGCCTTCTCTGCTCAAAGGAAAACAGCCTTCACCTCCCTAGTCTCTCTTCATACCTGAAGGCAACATCCTGGCAGATCTCCTCTGCACACTGCCTAGTGCAAGCACAGTCTTCCTATAGTTTGATGACTAGAACTGCACTCAATACTCTAGTTGGCCTAGTAAATGTGTTATACGGCTCCATCATAATTTCCCTGCTCTTGTATTTGATGCCTCCACTAATAAAAGCAAGTATCCCAGTCTTCTCAACTACCTTATTCGTTTGCCCTGTTGTCAAGGATCTGCGGACATGCACCCTAATATCCTTCTGATCCTCAGTACTAAATAAGATCCTACCAGTCATTGTGTACTCCCTTGCCTTGTCGGTCCTTCCAAAATGCTTTATCTCTCACTTTTCTAAATCAAATTTCATTTGCCATTACTTGATTATCTTACCAGCCTGTCTATATTGTCTAAGGCTTTCCTCCTCACTATTTACCATATCACCAATTTTCTGCAAAAGTACTAATTAAATCTCCTACATTCATGTCTAGATCATTAATGCAGACCACAAACATAAAGGGACCCAACCTTGAGATATGCCACTAGACACAGCCTTCCAGTTAAGAAAAGACTTGTGTCATCACTCTCTGCTTCCTACCACTCAGCCAATTTTGGATACAATTTGCTAAATTGCCCTGGATCCCATGGGTTCTGGCCTTCTTGGCCAAACTCCATGTGAGACTTTGTCCAAAGCTTTCCTGAAGTCCATGCCGACTACATCCACTGTGCTACCCATCTGATCACAACTCCCAAAAAAAAACTCAGTCAAAGCTATTAGACATGATCGCCCCTGACAAAGCCATGCATGACTAGTCTTGATTAGTCCTTGCCTTTCCAAGTGGAAATTATCCTCTTCCTCAATTCTTTACTGCCGCCCCCGCCACCACCCCACCCCCGACCCCAACCCCCAACCCCCCGGCAATAGTTTCCCTACTATTGTTGTTAGACTCACTGGCCTATAGTTCTCGGGTTTATTCCGATCACCTTTCTTGAATAATGTTACCGTATTAGCCGTTCTCCAGTTCCCTAGCACCCCTCATGTGTCCAGAGCAGATTTGAAAATTAATGTGACTGCCCCTGCTATCTCCTGCCTTGTCTCCCATCTCTTCTGGGCCTGGGCAATTATCTAATTTTAAGCTTGCAAAAACTTCTCCCTCTCAATTGTAATTTATTCAAGTATATCACAATCCTTCTCCTTTTACAACTTACTCTTTGCAACTTAAACTTATTCATTATAGCTTAAACTTTTCTAATTTATTTAAAAGAAGACTGTCTGATTCTGGCCATGTAATAAATGGCCAAATGTGCTAGATATAGCAATAAGCTAAGACTGCAAGAAATAGGAGGAATTGACTACATGTCCCATCAACCTGCTCTACCAGATCATGGCTGATCTTGGGCTTTAAATCCATGTTGCTGCAATCACCCCTCCACCCCTTTATCTCTTTAGCAAAGGCTGTGGGCACTGACAATATACAGTCTGTTACTGAAACCCTCATCCTTCTTCATTACTTCTGTTCCCAACTCTTACAATACATGCCAACTAGCTGCCCAAATTCTACTCTCTAATCTTAATCTTCAAAACACTCTTGCCTGCATCTCAACTTGCAACATGTATCATTCTAGCATGTGCTTGCCAACCTTCATTGGTTCCTGCTTAAGCAATGTCGATTTTAAAATATTCGTTCATTATTTCAAGATCCTTTAATGGCCTAGCCCTCCCCTTCTCTAACCTATAGTCCTCCAAGACATCCACATTCTTCTAATTCTGGCATCTTGTGCAGCACCAGTCATATTTGCTCCACAATTGTTCCATGTACCTTCAGATGCCTAAGCCTCAAGCTCTGTAATTTCCTCCCTACATCTCTGCCACTCCATTTATTTTCCTCTTTTAAGAAGCTTCTTATAGCTGATCCTTTTTGAACAAGCTTTTGGGATCTGATCTACTGTCTTCTTATTTTATGTCATATTTTATAATGCTCCTGCTAAGTATCTTACAATGCTCATTACTTACAATGGTGCCAGATAAATATAAGCTGTTGATTGAACACCAGAATTGGCCACTGCTTAAGACTCAGTATTCAAGTCCTAAAACACAAGTACCTATCTGAAAAATGAAAAACTGTCCAAACAAAATGGCAGGACACAATTCAATCGGAATGTTCACTGCTAATGGTGTTTTGTTCCATTTGCTGCAACTCAGATCATGAAGCAGTGTGGAGTTGGAGGGACACAGCAGGTCAGGCAGCATCAGAGAAGTAGAAAAGTCGACGTTTCAGGTTTACACTCTCCTGATATAGGGTGTAAACTCAAAACGTTGACTTTCCTACTCCTCTGATGCTGCCTGACCTGCTGTTTCCTCCAGCTCCACACTGTATTGACTCTGACTCCACATCTGCAGTTTTTGCTATCTCCCAGATCATGAAGCAGTCTATGTCATGCAGCAAGACATTCAGGGTTGGTCTGATAGGTGGCAACTAATATCTGTGTCACTCAAATGCCAGATAATAACAACGGATCATCTAATCAACTCCCCTCGACTCATCTTCATTACTGTAATTGAATCCCCTAACAACATCCAGCAGGTCATCACTGATCTAACTGGATCAGCCACAAAGATTGGGCAGTAGATATATGAGAACACAACAACCTTAAGTTTATTACTACCCTGATTTGGAAAAACGTCGCTGTTTCTCCAACACCACTGGGTCAAAAATCCTCAAATTCCCTTCTAAAGGCACGATAGGATTCTCTTCACCACACAAAATTCAATGGTTTAAGAACATAGCTCAGCAATACCATCACAAGAGAAAGCAAATTACAAGCATGTTGTCATAAAAATCACAAATAAAAATGTCACCAATAGACCAATCACTACATTGTATCCATGTCATGAAGATCTAGTCAGCCTAAACTCACCTTCCAATGCTACAAGCCTAGTGCAAAATATAAAGAAAACCCTATCATGACTAATCATGAACAAAATTACAAACACTACAAAATTAACATGCTTGTGCCAGTCACTAATGTTTAAATAAGAATACCCCATATTTGGTAACAATACATGCTGACAATGAAACAATACTCCATCACCTCTATTATGCAATAATTTTAAGAATTAATCAATAAACTTTAGCAGAGAAAGTTTCAGCGATAGTAGAATTCAACTGAATAATTTTTAAATTTCAATACTACTTAGACACCTGGCACAATAGAAGAGAACATTGCTTTTCAATATCCCCCAGAAGATACACTGAATGAATGTAAAATAAGATACGTTCTAGAGTACAGCCATACCACGCCTATATCATGAAGCACATATAAAGCATACGATTATGGTAAATTCCCAAAAAAGACACTATAACTTGTTAAATGAAAACAAAATGGTTAGCAGGTGAATGAAATTGGACAATCTCACTCAATGTATTTAAAATATCACCAACCATTGGAGTACAAAACACCATTGCCATCATTAAGTTCCTTTGATTCAGTAATTGCTAGAGTGTATTTTTAGATTAATAGATTTGTACTTTAGTTATTGACTGCTTTGGAAGCTAATGTTTGCAATTACACTACAACTATAAAATAAGCCCAAATCAATTTCACTTGACATATGGTAAGAAATTATAGAGTCAGTCAGATGTCTGGAACAAAAAGGAGTTAGACTACTTTCTTCAAAGCCTCCATCCAAAGCGATCTGAAGCCATAATGCTCAACATTGCAACTTTAGTATCAAAATTGTATTTTTAATATCCCATCTTGGCAAATCATCAAAATACACCATTCAAAAATGAAATATTAGTTGCAAATTCACTGTTACCTCATTTGACTGTCGTATGTTTCGTAAAGGAATCCACACAGTACCGACCATTGTGTCCCAGATCAATCCTTTGTTCCACACTTCCACAGTTAAACCAAGGTCCAAACGGTTGATTTCACTAAGCAGTAACAAATAAAGCGGTCACTTGCAACCACTGAAAAATGTACATATACATTGTAAAAATAAGAATGTTGAATAAAATCCTAACAGAGAGCTGGCCTGATAAGTCGTAGTAACAAAGCTTAGAGAATTAGAGATATATAACACATTTAGTTCCTTTACCATGTATAATAACTTGATCATTTGATAAATATTAGTACCATCAGATGAGGATAAGTGAATCATCTCCCCTCTTTTTGTCACCTTCAGTTGGCTATAATGTTATGGACAAGACCAAATCCCCTCAAAATATATTAAGAAGGTAGCTCAGACCCTAATATTTTCTTATTTTAAAAGGTAAGTGTACGGTGTTGCATTCCACATACAATTTGATTGGTCAAACAACTCGACTTCAAGCAAAACATACCTTATTTTTACACGGCTGTTAAAATGCAGACAGAATAAACGAAAACAATTGGCTTAACTGTAACTCTATCAACATGCTTAACAAAATATTAACTACTATGAATTAACTGTTCCAATATAGTAACATCCCATAAACACACCCTTGGTGAAGACAAATTCTATATAAAATAAATTTTCTGACATGCAATTCTAGTAAGAGAGAGAGGAGTAAGAACTTCCACATCCAGCTTCAAGACTCCAGCAACAGCTGGATGCTGAAACCAAAAATCCTGATTCTATGGGAGCTTGACCCTACCCATTCAGGTTGCTTACAGAGTCATAGAGATGTACAGCTTGGAAACAGATCCTCCTGTCCAACTCATCCATGCCGTCCAGATATCCTAAATTAATCTAGTCCCATTTGCCAACTTTTGGCCCATATCTCTTTAACCTTTTCTATTCATATACCCAATCAGATGCCTTTTAAATGTTGTAATTATACCAGCCTCTACAATTTCCTCTGGCAGTTCATTCCATGCATGCACCACCCTCTGTGTGAAAAAGTTGTCCCTTAGGTCCCTGTTAAATCTTTCCCTTCTCACCTTAAACCCATGCTCTCTAGTTTTGGACCTGAATATTCACCCTATGGCACGCCCTCATGATTTTATAAACCTTCTATTGTTCCAACATTAAAAATAAACCCAAGGGCTCACAAGCTGTTTATTGGCTTTGAGCAGACCACTTGACACCTCTGTATCCAATTTTTCTTCGTAAAAAAAGCCTGGACAAAGCCGAAGTGGAGTCACAATAAAAGTGATGATTACGTTTAGCACACAGCTATAACACACAAATTAAAATTTAGCTTGCTAGTTCAAAAATAAATCACCATTACAAGGTTTTCTTAAGCGAAAGAAAGAGCACTTACTAAACCAAAGAAAAATAAAATTCAGAATCAAACACACTCTGGCATAAATAGCAAGAACTGCAGATGCTGCCTGGCCTACTGTATTCCTTAAGCTCCATACTGTTTTATCACATACTCAGGTATAATGTTTAAAAATAGAGAGCGCATCTGGTACAAAAAGGAAGATCAGAATATGCAGTTTAAGAAGTCCTTAGAGACACGGAGGTGTTCGGTTTAACCCAAAACCAGGTATGCTGGCTTGCATCTCTCGCTATGGGGGAGGAGAGAGAGACAGCTAGGTCTGCTAAATCATTTTTCTCTCCTCATCTCAAAAGCTGTTGCCCGAGATACATTTCATGTATGGATTTCAGTATCTAGTCTCATTTTTAACCGCTCCACCCACCCCCCCACAAAAAGGATAATCTACAGACAGGTCTTCCATACATATATGTGGAACTTCCAGAAATCAGATAGGAAATACAGATCTGAGTGATTGGTTTCAGTCATTCTGATAGCATATTAATTTTACTTCAGACTGGATCTTGCTTATTGATGGTTTCATATGAACTTGGCTCAACATGGTCAGATAATGACTGTGGCCACTTTAAATGAGCGGTTCTTGTTTCCAATCCACAAGAGGTCCTAGTTATTAAAATTAAATGATGGAAGTTCAAAACTAATAGTCTATTTTACCACTAACATAAAAATATGCACAATACATTAATTACCAAGGAAATGAGATATAACTAATGGACTACAAAATTTTGCAACACAGAAGCTGTTCATTTAGCCAATTGCATCTGTGTTGGTGTTTTGCAAGAACAACCCAAAATTAGCCCAACTGTTCACCTTTCACTGAATTATCCTGTATTGTTAGCTACTTCAAATGTAGGTACATTCAACAGAACTACAAACGTTTCTCCCACCGGTATCCTCACACCTCACAGTTGTTTCCTATTTACCTCACTAAAATTTGTAAGAATATCAATATTCTCAGTTGCCCTGTGGTAACAGTTTCAGTATCTTAAAAACTCACATTTAAAGTAAAGGTTTTCTCCTTGGCAACAAAGTATTGAATTTATATGTGGGTTGGATTTTGTGGAAGAGTTGACTGGAAAGACTGAGAGATTCATGTTGCCTCTTCTGGGTGGGCCTGCCAGTGATAAGCACCATTCAACCACGAGTAGTCACTGGCAGGTCTTTTCTTAGATCAATAACCCCTGATGATAGGAATTCTGCCTACCAGAAGCTATTGGCCATTTTTTTTATTTCAAAATACACTTTGCTCATAAAAATATCTTTATATAATTACATAGTCAAATGCAGTTTGGTTCTGTACAGTAACATATCAAGGAAACAAACATTGGAGTTTGACTCTATCCAAACAATCCAAAATGACATCTCTTACACATAAGACAATATTTACATGCATTTGTGGCACTAGGAGGGTCCGATGACTAAATGGACCCCATTTAACTTCAGCATAAGGACCTCAGACAGTGGTCTTTCCCCACTGTGTCTTGGAGACAGCTGCCCCAAGCTTTAGTGCATTCCAAAGCACATAGATCTGGACCTGGAATGTGTCAGTTTGCAACACTTGCTCTGGAAGGCTAACAGGTTTCGGGCAGACTAAACAGCGTCTTTCACAGAGTTGATAGCCCCCCAGTGCAGCTGATGTTTGCTTCAGTGCGTGACCCAGGGAACAGACCGTAGAGCACAGACTCCTGCATCACTGAGTTGCTCGGGACAAATCTCCACAAAAATCAGTGCATCTCTCTTCAGACTTCTTTTGCAAAGGCACATTTCAAAAGATGACATGTGGTAGTCTCCACGTGGTGGTGCAGACTGACCAGGCATACATGAAAGATCTTGGTACCCTTCTCACCACCTGCCAAGTGATGTCTTGGGGCTTATTGGAAAGTTCTGATGAGTCATTCTGCCAAATGACTTTGACAGTCTGCTGAGGGAGCCACGCAACAAGATCCACCCTCTTCCTGCAGGGTCTCGAGGACGCTAAGTGCTGACCACTTCCTGATGGACTTGTGGTCAAAAGGTGTTTTTCTTTGCAAATTTCTCCACAAAGGACAAGTGGTATGGGAAGGTCCAACTACTTGGAACATTCTGCGACAACAAGGCCAGTCTCATCTGGGGACAGGTAGAAACTCAGTAAGTAGTGACACTTGGTGTTTTTCTACTGATAGTCTATGCACAGCTTGATGCAGCCACACACAAAGGTGGCCATCAGGATGAGGGCAACATTGGGTACATTCTTCACCCACTTATCCAGAGTTTTGTACATGGACTCCCTGCAGTCATGGTCCATCTTAGACCGCCAGATGAAGTGGGAGATGGCTCAGGTGACTGCAACAGCATAGTTTCAGGGAATGGGCCAGACCATGTACAACAACAGAGAGTACCTCACACAAGAGGACCAGGTTGTTACCCTCAAAGGAGAGGGACCTTAGCTCCCAAAAGACCAGTTTCTGCTTCACCATGGCAATACACTCCTCCCAAGATTTTGCACATGCCCCAGCCCTCCAAACCATATTTCCAGCATCTTTCAGGGAATCTGTCCTGACGGTGAAGGAGATAAAGGATTTATCAGCCCACTTCCCAAAGAACATGGCCTCACTCTTGTTTTGATTTACCTTGGCTCCCGAGGCCAGTTCGAATTGGCCGCAGATGCTCATGCCTTTTGCGCACTGATAGCAGATCCAAGCAGGAAACAATGACACCTGCCCATATGCAAGGACACTTTGACCTGCAGGCCTCCACTGCCTGGTATAGTCACTCCTTTCAGGCTCACATCCCTCCTAATAGAAGCTTTTGTTGAGTCTATACAACACACAACAAAGGCAGGAGAGAGTGGACAGCCCTGCCTGTCTCCAGATCTGATTGGGAAGCTTTCTAATTCCTACCTATTGATTGAGACTGTACTAACGACGAGCAGTCAGATCCAGTTGCGAATTCCCTCCCCAAAGCCCATTTCGGAAAGCACAATCTACATGTACATGTGATATCCTGTCAAAGATCTTGTCCTGGTCCAGGCTGATGAGGCAGGCATCTACCCTACCTGTCCTGCACGTAGGCGATCATACTGAATCCCTGAGGAGCACAAGGCTCTCAAAGATCATCCTGCCAGGTACAGCACTGGATTGGTCAGGGTAAATTAGTGATCCCAGAACAGACCTGACCCGGTCGGCAATGACCTTAAACAAGATTTTGTAGTCTGCATTCAGCAATGAAATTGGCCTAATTTCCTCCCTCTCCTCCTTCCGCTTGTACATGGGGGTGGCGGTACCTTTCATCAAGGATTTGCATATGGTACCTGACAGAAGATTACTGTTGTACACCTCCAGCCAGTCCTGGCCAATCAAGTCCCAAAGAGCAGAGTACAACTTGGCTGGTAAGCTGTCACTTCTGGGAGTTTTATTCTTTTTTAAGGACTCAAGAGCCTTGGTCAGCTCATCCAGAGATAACGGCTCGTCCAGCCTCTCCTGCGTTCTTTCATCTAAGACCTAAGGACAGGAACAACTAGGAAACTACACTGTATGTGGGCTTCATGTCATACAGATTGACATAAAAGGATTTGTTGATACAGGAGCTATTGGCCAATCAGGGATCTGGAAGGGCAGTGGCTCCTGCCAAAACACCACCTAGCAAAGACCCAGGACTGAGGGACAACCCAAATCACATAATTCCTCTGCATA